GCGTCTCCCTGGTCTGCTGGTTTCCAGCAGACCAGGGAGACGCGGAGCAAACCCCATTCGTAACTGCGGATCTGACATAAGTAACTCGGGGACTGCCTGTACAGAAATTACTGTTATAAAACGGATCTAACTTTATGTATTTCAACTAACCAAGTCACAAGAGAAATGGGAAGGCTACAATGCATGCTTCACTTAACATTATTACTGATATTTTGAAATTACAAAAGATAGGACATTTCTTGGGCTGGGTTGTAATTGCCAGCTGTAACACCAGGAATCACAGCCCTTAAGAGGGCAGACTATTCCATCATACTTACTGGCCCAATGAGTTCTCGTCACTAAAGGACCTCTTCCAAATACAGCACCTGAATCCTCAGTCTTCGTTTAAAATAAACAGTTATTCAATGGTTCAGGATTAGATCATCTAAATAGGTCTCCTCTCCATTTTATTCTCTATCATCTTATTCCATATTTGCTGTTATTGGACATAAGTACTCTGGTACACTATTACATGCATAGTTTTTTCTTTGTGGGTCACAGTTCCCACGCAATCTTTGGGTCACAAAATGAGTCAGCACTCTTAGGTTTTGTTCCCACTTCTGATTTTTATCCATTTTTTCCTCACATAAAAACTAGCCTTGCAGACAGAGATAATGCTTTCCATGAGAAATATTCCACCAGAATATTTCCCCTGCTTAGCATACTTTCCCTTAGCTAATTTACAATTGTATGTATTAAATCTAATGCACTACAACAGTACTTTATAGTACATGTGCATATAAAGTGTATATGAGCTTATAATCTCTCTCTATATATACAAAAGTTTTTCTTGTCGGGCGACAGAATGACATCATCATGCTCTCACATCATCATGTGGCCACAAAAGCCTCTAGAGAAAGGGCAGGTTGGCAAGCGTAGCAAGCAGCGGGTGTAGCCCCCTAGTACCTTTTAAAATTCAAATTTGCAAACAGAATTGTGTAACTAGAAAAAGGAAAGATATGGAGTGAATAGTTTTTGCATTCATTATTATAACTCACAAATGATAGATAAAAACATTTTATTTTCCACTTATAAGGCATTATGGTTCATCAATTAAAAAATGAGGCAAATTATGCAAAATCAATCCATTGTATGTTGTATTTTATGCATTACCAATTTTAGGGACACGTTTTAAGATGAGACACAGTGAGCATATTGAAAAGATATTAAAATGCGTGCATATAATCAGATGTAAAAAAAATCCTGAAATCTGCATGAATATGCTTCAGATTAGAAGATGACACTTCCTCTGTATTGATGAATTTGTCTAATTTTGTGTAGAGCAGCACAAGTCTTTAATTGTTCATATTAATTAATATTGACAGGAAACATGTTTTTTGATGATTTTATGTTCAAATGAGAAATCCTGAGATTTGTAAGGAACTAGTAAAGTAAATTAAATAGCAGTTATTCAAATGATTCAATAGCAGATTGCAATTTTAGAAATTTGCCCCCACCAAAAATTCCTTATTCAATAATGATATTATACAATCGATACTTAAATATCATAGTCAAATTCTGCCCTTATTACACCCTGTTGATTGACTGACGTGGAAGTAGAAAACACAAAACACAATTATTGGATGCTGATCTTTCCTTAACAATCAGTGCAGCAAATAAGAGGACAAATTGCTGAATGTGCTCTTTAATCACTTGTGCATCCATTGTAATGGCTTCTAATGTTTATTTTGGCTTAACATTAGTAATACGATTTATAAGTGTTTAGCGTTGCCAGGTGTCCGGTTTTTGCCTGCACAGTCCGGTAATTGATTCTTCTCTTCAGTTTAAAATTAAAAAAAAAGGAAAATACCGGACATGTAAAGTTTGCCCCTCCCACTTTTTTTTCTTTTGCTCAACCAATTTTTTTCCCCTCCATGTTCAGGATTTTTTGTGAAGGTATATGGCAACCCTATAAGTGTTGCACAGGGAAAAGATGGAAAGTTGATTTTATTGTGGTTGTTGAATAATGTTTCCCATTGGTAAAATTTCTAAGTTCTTATTGTTTAATACATATTACAAAAGTCCATCAAAAATGACAAAATACATGCAGTTCAACTTGTGGTGTCTGATTTTTTTTATAAGTAAATAACAAGCATTGAAAACAATAGACACTCGAGGGGGGAGGTAGCCTAACAATAATTAATGACATAAGATAAATTTCAGGTATATTGAAGTTTAAAATGTGAGCAGTAACTAAGGCCTCAATCCTTCATTGGGATCTACTAGCATAAGCTCCTTCTTCACTAATGCATACCCCCACTGAAATCAGTGGAACTTTGCACAAGTGGTACAGTCTGCACTAGAAGATACCAGTGCAGAATTTGGGCCTAAATAAGTAAAAGCCAAATGGCACATTAACTTCATTTGATGTTTCTTCACCTGCATGATGTGCTAGCCCAGATGACTGTGATACCAGAAAACTTTGAGCTTTAAAATTCTAGCTCAATTAATTGAACTAAATGAGATTCTCCATTCATATAATCCCAACATCTCTTAAGGTTCTGAACATTATGGGCACGTCTAGACTAAGTTTTTCTTTTGAAAGAAGATATGCAAATTTGGTGCGAATTTGCATATCTTCTTCTGATCGCCTTTTCAAAAGAGGTTTTTTGAAAGAGCAAGCAGTCTAGACATGGTTCTTTAAAAAAAAAAAAAAAACTTTTTTTGAAATAACCCTTTTTCCTCAAAAAATGAACCCACTTTTTCAAAAGAACCATGTCTAAACTGCTTGCTTTTTTGAAAAACCTCTTTTGAAAAAGCAATTGGAAGAAGATATGCAAATTCACACCGCATTTGCATATCTTCTTTTGAAAGAAAAATGTAGTTTAGACATGTCCTATGAGGGATAGGCAGTTATGCTTCTGTTGCGAATTACCACAAACCCTGCTTTTGGAAATCATTTATTCCACAAGGACATTCCTGGTGTTCTTATTCAGATATGTCTTCATTGACTGAAGACAAATCACCTAAAACTTGGAACTGGTATTACTTAGTTTGTTAAATCAAAGTTAATAATAATATAATAAATAAAATAAAAAGTGGATTCTGGATCAAATCTTTCAGTCCTCCCAGGAAATTTGGGTGTTCAAGAATGGTAGGATTTGGCCTCAAGTTAATTCATTTTTATTCACTTTGATTTAATACTGTAAATAATATCAATCTCAGATTATAGTCACCCTGACAACTTAATCCTGACCGGCGATTGTAAAACATTAAAAAAAAACCCCAACCCTTACACATCTACTGTATAATTTGGTATAGTTTATCTTTACAGTCTTACAACCAAGTGCTCAAGTAAAAAACACAAAAATGCAGGATCTGTTGTTGTTGGGTACAGGTTTAAGCAGTGCTCAACATTTTAATGTCCTCTAGTGAATATAAAACCACTTTGATGTAAAATGCCTTAAATTTTTTCAGCTTTCTTCCTTCTCCCTCAAACATAAAATTCCCCAAAATATGGTACATGTCAATACACCTCAATCTGACTAGTGAAGCACTAACTTTTTTTGGTAAACAAAATGAAACATTCCTTTGATTAAATAAGAATCTAGATCAGGGCTACTCAACTTTGGAAGCCCCGGGGGCCACAATGATACTCATAGCACATGCCAATGGTCGCAACTTAAGTGTGGTTGCATATACGTGCAAATACATGTGCAAATATATGCAAATAGCTTCTTTCACACTGATGGGCATGAATACAAACATTAAAGCAAGACAATACAACACACAGGCCCCATTTAAGTCAGTTCTGCTGATACTAATAGAATGCAATATCTACCCGATTTCCACCCATATGACAGCACTTTTAATGAGCAATGACAGTCCAGGAATTTAACTATTAACACACATATCAACAGAAGACCATTATATTGACTACTTTTTTGTTTTGGCTCCCACCCACGGGACATGTGTGGAGCCCCGCTTGAATCCAAACTGCACCGTGGGTCGCAAACAAACAGGCCATGGCCTGCATGTTGAGTAGCCAAGATCTAGATCATAATATCAAATCAGTAGTCCGCATTGTTACAAGTCATGCTTCATTAGTTTGCTTGCAGATTAAGTGAACTTTTCAGGAGATGTTCTAGCCATGGTAGTAATATTGTTCCTATAGCTGTAGTATCTGAAAGTTTCACTTTGTTTTAATATATTTATCCTCTGATTACTGCTGTGAGGCAGGTTAAGTAAGTGGCTTATGAAAGGTCTCACAGCCATAAGTCTGTCAGAGAATGGAACTGAACCCAGCTCTTCTAAGTCTGACACAAATGTCTGAAATGTCTTTTCCGTGTGTGTCTTATCCCTTTATATACTGCAGCTAAATGTCTGCCTAATACATTCTTTTCAATATATTTACTATCATGCCATAATGTATATGCACAAAATATAGAATTACTGTGAAAGTGGAAATTGTAACCCTGAATGTCCTGTATTCTGTAGTTTCAAAATGTTAGTTTTAATATACTCTTTGGATTAAATAGTATTTAATCCCCTTGGAAGAAAGTCCATGGTGAATTTATAATTAAATGAATTCTTATAGGTTTCTATTAATATCAAGATTGGGGGAAAGGAACTGGGACTATATTTATTTGTATTAACTTCAAAATAATTATCAAGAACATACTCTTTGGCCTATTTGTCAGTTCATCAGCAATTTTTTAACTTGTTACCTGCTTTTTATATATATGGAGTATGCTTATTTTTCCAGTCTGAACAAGAAAGCATGCAGATGAATTGAAGAAGGAATGTAACTGTTTTTGGAGATAGAAGTAATAATAACTGAAGAACAGAATACAATTCAGTATCTTCTATAAATAGATTATGCCAATGTGACTTAAAAAAACCAGATTTGTAGGATATTGTCAGTCATTTGTACACTTATGTATGGAATGTGAAGAGAACATTTTATTTAATATTCTCAATTGCAGCTCAGTTATTATATTGATTTTTCTCTCTTCTGCCAGTTCTGAAAGTAACATACTGACTCGTACAAGTGATGTAGTAAGTGAAGATGTATTGTGTCACAAAGAGAACAACTTAAATGGCTGTAAGTACTTCTAAAATGGACGCTTTTCATTTTTCTGCAATGGTTTGTTTTAACTATTGAGTTTTGGAGTACAGTACATGGGGAACCAATGTGAATGAACAGTATATATTATTGTATATATTTTATTACAGATCTATTATCTGTAGACATTTTGAATTTAGATACACAGTGCATGTCATGTTCAGTAATAAAGTTTGGGGCTACAGAGTTTATTTAAAAAATAAAAAAAGCTGAGATTCTCTTTTATAGGACTCAGAGTATGGCTCTTCTAACAAAGACTCCTGTAAGACCCTTCTAGCTCATCAGTGTTGGATGTGAAAGAATTATTTAAGAATGATTGATTGTCTAGAGGTGCTTCACCTTCATTCCCTAGTAGTTTTCCATCAAGATATATGTCAAGATGTATTCATTGGGAATTATGGTGCTAGTATAGGTAGTTACCTTTAAGAAAGTCCATGTGCACAAAATCTCCAGGGAAGTTCCTTGAAGTTCACTGCATACTTGAACAAAATATTATTGCAATTACACATGGTGCTAAGGAAAATGGAGACTTGCTATATCAGTAATATTAGTACCAGAATATTTCTGAAATACAAGTACCTAAATTGACATATATTTGACAATGTGGCTTCTGTATTGTAATGTTCTCTGTGTTATGTGGAAATGTTTATATTTGGTCTGTGAAAGCGGTACTCTGTATATTAGTAATATAGCAGTGTGGTCAAATTGTATAGTTGGAAAGGAGGGCTATTGTGATGGTTCTTAACATTTTTGTGTATCTTATGATTTAATATGGTCTCCCTCATCTCATACTCTCTATCCATTTAGCAATATGGCAAGAAAGGGCTAGTTGCAATCTCCTAACACTTGATTGTGACTCATGGTTTAAAGAGTAAAGACCTAGGAAAATTGAGCAGCTAGATATATCTTCTGCAGAATTTTCTGAAAATACCTACTGATGCAAAATATAATTTGTGTGTGCATGTGTGTGTAACCACTCCTGTTGGCTAGCCCAGTGTGAGGTTATTCAGCATAGGGGAAGCCTTGTGACTTCTTACACCACTGTGGGAGGCTAGGCCTGAGGCTGTTTGGTGTGCTCTGCACTTTGTATTTGTGAGTGAATCTCAGACCAGACCCACTCCGACAAATCACCAGGAACAGGCTTTATTCTGTAAAAAACATAGAACAGGAAAACAGTTCAGCAGTCCCTTCTCTCAACATGCAGCCTGTGTGCTGCTTCTAGCACAGTCCTTGCTGAGACCCTGCTGCTGGCAGAGGGCACATCCTGGCAGGAACCAGGAAGTTCTCCCAACATGCCACAGTTTGTAGTCCACAACTTGTAGTTCCCAGGGCTGCTGCTGAAACACACTGGACCTTGGGCTACATGTGTAATTGCTCTTCACAAATCTTTCTACAAGACCCCAATATTAAGTAACTTTATATCAAGGATAATTTTGCAGTATCTGTAAAGGAGGAGGGTGCTATGAGAATCTGGGAAATCAGCTTAATCTTCTTCTCAGTGTGAACCTGGAAAGCTCTCTCCAGCACACCATTGAGCATGCCCCTTTCAAGGTGCACTCAGAATCATCTAGAAAGCTGTAGCTGTTAGAGCTGTGCAAGTGTTGCATAAATTGCTAGTTTCGTCCCCTGGAGGCTAGTTCAATTTGCCTCAAGAAGAGAGTCATACTTTCAGGCTGGGTCCAACTCTATTTTATTGTTTGCAAACGAGGACGGCCAAGGAGCTCAGTGCTCAAAGCAGGGTCGACTTTGAGCATCGCCTGAGCTGAAACTTTTATAGATTTCACATTCCTTCTGGTCAGTGTGTCACAATGTGATTGGTCACTGCAAGTTTACTCAGTTCCCTGGCAGAAAGTTTAGCAGCTTCTAAGACATGCGCAATCAGCTAAATGATACGTGCTGTTTCTAGCTTAAGCAATGGAAGGGAAGAAGCACACTTAGTTTTTACTACACAAGTGACCACTCAGCTATGGAAGTGTTTGGTATAAGTACAAAAGTGGATTTTGGAAGCATTGGGCCTTCATTTGTAGCACTACATTGGTTGTTATTGGACCTACTTTAGGATAGTGAAATTGTCTTATTTGCAGTTATTATGTAGAAAGTGGTACGTGATGTTTCTGTTTGATTTTGGTTTCTTGCATCAGCCACTTTCTAAAGGTCAGTTTTCAATATTGATTAGTTCCTAAACGAGCACTATATATATGTAACCCTTCTGCCAGGACAAGTTAATTGCAGCAAGGGCCGGGTTCAATATCTAGGGGTCTCCTCCCAACAACATAATACAACACTGGCTCGAGCCCCCACCCAGTGACCTGGGAAATCTTACATATACCCCTGGGTGCCTCAAAGAGGCAATTCTTCCCCTCTCGCAAGCAGAGTCTTGGTATAGAAGCAAATCTTTAATAACACAAGGTAACCGACATCAGCATTGAAGTGGGAAAACACCACAACTCAGATTCATAAACCAGACATGAGCAAAGACCCACTTCCCCCAGCCACAAATCACCTAAGGTCCCCAAAAGTCCAACACCCCAAAAGTCTCTCGAGTCCAGCAACCCAAAAATCACCCAAAGTCCCAAATTCTGATACCCCAAAAGTCTCTGCCCCGGGTCAGTGCTGCCCCAGGGTTCAAAAGTTCACCTGGCAGGATTTTACCATCTCAACCTGGGTGCAATAGAGGGGGCAGGGGTTGATGTACCTTACGCGGTCCGCCGGCAGCTCTGCCTCTCCATAGGTTTCTGCTGCCGCTGTTGACACAAATCACTCCACCACACTCCATCTGCTGCCCTATGAGCTGCCCCAGCCGTTCCACGGAGCAGTGTCTGCTTTGCCAGCCCTCCTTGGTCCATGCTCCCCGGCCACCAGCTGGTAGGTCCCGCAGTTGCTCCACCGGCTGCCCGTCGGTCATCCCCGTCAGCTGCTCACTTGCATGCACCAGTTGCCCCGCAAACTGCTCTGCTAGCCGTCCCACAATCTGCTTTGCTAGTAGCTCAGCAACAGTGATTTCAGCTCATAGTAGATTTCAGCTCTTCAGCAGTATGGCACCAGGCTCCCCTTAGTACACAGTGATTTCAGCTCTTCAGTAAGTTCAGCTCACAGTAGAAGAGCCTCAGTGCAAGTGCACCATTGGACCACACTGAAGCTAGCAAGAGAGGAAGACATGCAATTGGTGTGTTTTGGGCCCTCAGACAGGACCCCCCACCAGCAGATACAAAGACCTATCCCCAGCTTCTCTCAGTCTGACTGGGTTTGGAACCCAGGCCCCTTGTCTAGTGAGTGCTACTTAGTTTATGGCGAAACAGTTCCACTAGTTGATTCACATAATCAGGGTAACAACACTTCATCCCCCCTGCCTCAATAACAGAGAAACTTGAGATCCCACAGTGGCCAAAGTGACCATTGGGCTACTGAGAGCACATACTAGGCAGGGTGGGTGTACCTATGCAAATGAATCAGTCCCTGAAGTCTTTTTGCATCACTTGCCACAGTTTACCCCCAGATGTCAGGGTAGGGCTTATCTTGACCCTGACTTGCCACAGTTCACCAACAGATGTCAGGGTAGAGCTTATCCTGACCCTGCTTACATATATTTCAGTGCTACCTCTGACCCATTTGTTTTGACTTCATTTTCACCTGACCTCTGATCAGTTCATTGCCCCAGAAGTTTGAGGAGGCTAAGCTTGAATACAAATCAGAATTTACAGCATTATTTAGATGCAAAATGTATGCATCAGAGCTGCATATTAAATATTTAAATTTTCTGGGCTAAAGAGACTTTAAGGGTACTTGGCTATGCCAGATTCACCCACTCATCCAACATATAAGGAAGTGTCTCATGGAGAAGATGATTAAGTTCAGTCTTTTGTACTTTTTCAGGCTGATATGTTACTGAATCTGAGATACGACACAGATCCAAAGCACTCTTATTGGCATACTAGCCTGATTTAAAAAAAATATTTTCATGTAATCTTTTAAAACACTTGAACTACCCGAAGTGCGCCTATTATGCTATAAATATTGCCATTCTGAAGCAGGAATAAGGAAAACAGAATGAAGCATGAATAGAGTATTATAGACCTGATAAATTAAAATATTGCTAGTTTGGGGAAAAAGTTTCATTTATGTTAAGTATTGAAAGACTATCTAATCACATGTGTTATTTTTGAAAATGAAAAAAATTACAGTACAAAATGTAATGCATAATATGTTGTCATCATGTTTTTAACTTACTTAAAATGCTGTCTTCCAAAAGCAATGGTCTACCAGTTTTAATTTCTGTGCATTCTTGACCATTTCCCAATGTAATACAGGTTGAACCTCCATGGTCCTGCACCCTTGTGACTGGAGAGGTCCTGAACAAGGGAATTTGCTGCACAAGGGGAGGTCAGGCATTCCGGCTCTCTCCAGGGGCTCCCCTCCTGCCTGCTGCTCTGGGAGAACCTGGAAGCCTGACCTCCTGTGGCTCATCTGTCTGGCGCTGCTGCTGCCAGCCTGCTCCCAGGGCTCTGCTGCTCCCTGTCCCTACCCCCGTGTGGGGCGGGCAGCAGCTCCTGGGGTTTCCCAGCCGTGTATGCAGGGTGGCAGCTGCTCCCAGGGTTCTCTGGCATCATGTGTGGTGGCAGTGCTCCAGAGCTCTGCACTTAAGCTTTGCTCCTAGCTGCTCTCAACCTCTGTAGCCAGGGCTCTCTGGTGTCGTAATATCTGTGGTCCTGCTGGAACATGGATGTTGCCAGACCTGGGAGTCCTGGATGAGAGAGGTTCAACCTGTATTGTCATGAAGCTAGTCTCATTGAGGGAGCAATCTTATTCATTTGAAAAGTATAAGGTAAAACTCTTGCCTCTCTCAGGAGAAATTTACGTATCTATTATACATTGCTAAAGATTTTTATTTTTTATGAATATAGAATGGTAGTTGATCCAACAGAGTCTTACTCTTTCTGAGCTGTGCAGCTAAAAAGAGGTGTATGTATTTGTATGCATAGGCTTGGCAAGTGTGAAAGGAATGAATTAGCATAATTTGTTTATGTAACCTTTGTATAAAATACTGTTTTACTGCTTTTGTGATTTGAGAGAACCTTAAATACTAATTCCTAGGGTATACTATAATGGGTTGCTATGTTTTTATATTGGAATAGTTACTTTAGCCTTAATTACATTTGCTACTGTGTATAAGCAGCCCCTAAACCATGTTTTGGCAGTTAATCAAGTCCATCACTTGCAAGAGTTCTTCAGTCCAGTATGCACGCTACTCTTGGAAGGGAGAGGTTCTGCATATCTGGATCTTCACTTTCTTCCTTTTAATCTGGAAAAGCGTTATTGCACCATCATTCTGGCCAATGAGCTGGTAAGAAAAGAATATGTGTTCTGTAGATGTCTTTGTATGTTAACATTGTTAATGATATGTACAACAGTTATGACATTCGTAAAACTTTGCACCAAAGCTGTCCCTGCCAATTGCATGCCTCAATTTGTGCAAAATGGATAACTGTATACAAAATTGGAAGTTGTGCATGTGCCATTATAGGCAATAATTACAAGTTAAATGCATTAATATGTGTTTACTTGTGTATGTATTATTTTGCAGGTTTAGGCTTTGATATTTGCATATTTAGTTATTTATTTTGTCATTAATGGTAGCATTTTCTCAGTGTATTTTTTTTTCTGATTGGAGTGGATAGTCATGGGAGTTGGATATTAACAGGATATGCCTCATTTCATCTTTAGGTTTAGGTTTGTTAGATCAGTAGCAACACAAAGTTTATCACCAGCTAATGTCTGTCTGGTTTATGATAAGTGACTTTGATGGCAGCAGTCTTCTAAGAACTGGACAGGAATCCATGTTAGTAAAATACCTTTAGGCTGTGTCTACATTGGCACTCCTTTCCGGAAAAGGGATGCTAATGTAGACTTCGGAATTGCAAATTCCGCGAGGGATTTAAATATCCCCCGCGGCATTTCCATTTACATGGCTGTCGCTTTTTTCCAGCTTGGGGATAAGCCGGAGAAAAGCGCCAGTCTAGACGTGATTCTCCGGAAAATAAGCCCTTTTCCGGAGGATCTCTTATTCCTACTTTCAATAAGAGATCCTCCAGAAAAGGGCTTATTTTCCAGAGAATCACATCTAGACTGGCACTTTTCTCCGGCTTATCCCCAAGCCGGAAAAAAGCGGCAGCCATGGAAATGCAAATGCAGCGGGGGATATTTAATTCCCCCATGGATTTGCAATTCCGACTCGTCTCCTTAGCTTCCCTTTTCCGGAAAGGGATGCCAATGTAGACGTAGCCCGGGAGCTGTGGTGGATGAAGAGTGCTATATAAGAGGAACTTATTTAAACTATTAACAATCAATACCATAGTTGACACTGCTTGGCAGACTGAGTAGATAAATCAAATTCTTAATGACCATGGAAATTAAACTAGTCTCCTCATGTATCGGGGGTTTTGCTTTACATTAAAATTGTGACACATTGGTGGGGAAGTTGATGGAAGCTTAACTGTCCTGAAACTCTGTTACTTTGTCATGCTGTCTTGAGTGGTTCATGACCTAGAGTGCCAACCTCAGGGCAGATTGTCAAAAGCAAGGCAGGAACTGGTTGTATCTTCTATAATTATTTCACCAACCCAATATCATGTGTGAACTCCTAGGGTGTGTCTAGACTACAAGGTTGTGTCAACAAAACTATACCTGTGTCTACACTGCCGCGGAGTTCTGTCGACATAACGTCGACAGAACTCAGCAGTTTTGTCGACAGCTGTAAGCCTCATTCTACGAGGAACACCACCTTTTGTGGACAGAGTTCTGTCGACAGAAGGCGCTACTGTCAACAGTATGGGTACGTCTAAACTACATGCCTCCATCGACGGAGGCATGTAGATTTGTGTATTCGAAAAAGGGAAATGAAGCCGCAATTAAAATAATCACGGCTTCATTTAAATTTAAATGGCTGCCCCGCTCTGCCGATCAGCTGTTTGTCGGCAGATCGGGGCAGTCTGGATGCGCCGCG